GGCACAGCCAAATGCTTGATTAGTATCCTTCAACGCAACCATTAGGAATCCTTCAGAGGCACTCTACCGGTTTAGGATCTACTCTTTTTATTACCTTTTATGGCAACGTGATCGTGTCAGAGATAATCCTAGTCGATTTCGGACATTCGATCATATCACAATCTTCTTATTGACCAGTTTTTTCTATAATTAGAAGCATCGGTTATTATTTGGTTAGGCCGATGGCATACAAATTCCCACATGGTTTTTCGGGGAATCACATTAGCCCCTGGTGGAATTGAACCTGTAGCTTGTGATACAGACCTATGGCACTCTAACTACTGAGCTATAGACCCATAGGTCTATAAATATTTATTTATCTTATTAAATTACTATAATAGAAATCTCTCATATATTCTTTTATTCAATAAATCATATTCATTATTTTTTTTTTCATTATTTTTTTTATTCAATAAATCATCATATTTATTAAAATAATAATAATAATAATAATTCAAATTATTATACCATATGATTTGATTGAATAATATTTCATATGCAGTTATAAAGATCTCACATGATTTTTATTTACCAATTTCATATTGATACATAATTTCTTTAACTTTTTGTATCATTTGTTTATCAAATGAAAGAGGTTTCTAAAAAGCCTTATTTTCATTTACAAGATTTTTAAGAAATTTATTATAATCATTAATGGATGCTGTCATCAGATAATTAGAAATAATTTGAATCTCCAAGAAAATATATGCTGAACAATTTGTCATATGAAATAATTCGATTATTTTTTATATCCTATTCCAATATTTTCACTCTTGCCTTTCACTTCACCAATAGATAAAATTGTCATTATTTTCTCAGCCACAAGACTGCATAACATCTTTAGTATAGATAATCTCTTATTTTTATATTCATATTCACTTGTAAGTACTACAAGCAATGATAAAAAAGGTTCCTGGAGATATTTCAACATCCTTTTTGCAAATTTTGCCTTGGCTGACTTAAGTTTATTATATTGAAAAATCCATTCTTTGAAATAATTATTCAATGTTTTAACATTTGATATTGAATAGGCCAGCAAAGATTCAAATAAAAAATTAATATTATCATTAACATGAAAAAAATAATCACCATCAAATCGTTTCTTAAAAAAAGCTAATCACCATATATCTTTAATTGATCATCCATCAATTTCAAAAATTTTTTATTAAAAATATATGCCTTATTCACTATAAATATTATAAAAAAATAAATTGAATTTTAATAACTTATTAATATAAATTATCAAAAAATTACCTATATAAATTTTATCGATTTTTATACTTATATCATAACAAGCTTTAGAAGAATCAATATCAATTGACATCACTAAACCTTGTCTTGAAATTAATGAGCCTTGTAGTACCATTAAGTCATTACATATAACTTTATTAATATTTAAAGCTTGAGTTTCAATACTCTTATCAATTGTCATTTCAATTTCATTCTAAAAGTTAAAATAAGTAAAGTTATATTTTACTTTTTAAAAATTATATATTAAATATCTGTTTTGAATTATTGTTAAATCTTTCATTTTATTTTTTTTTTTAAAAAAATATAATTAGATATTTAAAATTAGATATTTAAAAAATTATTATAATTAAATCTAACCTTTTTATTTCTCTTGCCTCTTGTCAATTGAACAATTTCTTTCTTATTTTTCTTTTTGTTTACAAATCAAATGACCTCTTTATCCCTATCACTCTCTTTTACCAATTCAATAATCTTTTTCCAAAATCAAAATTTAATTATTATCAATTATAAAAATATTTATAAATAAAAATTTTATTATCTTAATATTATTAATATGTTTATTGACAGTATCAACAATAGTTGTACTATCATTTTCTTTTATCAATTTAATAATCTCTTCCTCTTGAAATCAATATCTAATTATCTAACTGTAGAAAAATATTTTTAATAATAGTAAAAATTCTTATTACCTGGAAATTATTAACAGTAGTTGTGACATATATAATTGAGCAACAACAATTTTTTATATAATTGACACAATTATTTTAGTTAATGTAATTAATTTAATTGATATAATTATTTCAATAAAAAATAAATTAATTTAATGAATTTTAAAATCATGTGAGGTCTTCATGACTGCATGTGATTTCAAGTACAAGTGATTTAATTACTTAAGATAAAGTTTGGCTTGTTGCTAATATAATTTGTGTAATAATGTATTTAAAACATTAGTAATATCTAAATTTATATAATTAATATAATATATAAGTATTATACTTTGTAATTTTAAAATATATAATTTTTTATTAAAAAAAAAACTCTTTCCCACATACAACTCCTTTTGTAAAAATTGTCTTTTTAGAAGATCTTTTTTCTCCCAAGAAACTTTGACTAGTGAATTATATTTTTGGAAGAGTATAATCCTAAGAACTGCTATTGAATAGTGGAGGTTTCAGCAATGGCTCTTGAGAACCAGAAACAGTCCACTCAAGAAGTTCTAATACTTGCAAAGGTATTGGTCAAATAGTTTGGCCATTAGAAGATAAATAAAAAGCTTTTTTATATTTAGACCTTTCTTTACACCAAATAATACAAATCTTAAAAATATTCTTTTTTTCAAAATTACACATTTATCAAGAAACAATATTTTATTTTTTCAAAGTTTTTGTTTTCTACTGATAATGACTTGTGAAAGATTCTCCATATCCTCTGGCTAGTTATTAATTTTTGTCAATATTTTACATCCAAAACCTCCTTATACAAAAAAACTGAAATCAGTTTATTCCACCAAAAGATTTATAATACACAAAACACTAATTTCATTTCATATCACCCACTCATATCAAAATATCACAACCTACTGGATTGGAAGAGTGCATGACCAGTGCCTTGTGCAGATTCCAGTATGGCTCCAATAACTTACAACAACAAAACAATACAATATAGTATCAAAATGGATAGTAATATCCAACCTATCAATACAAAATATGATCAATCATTAGATAACAACCATCAAAACTCATACCTTCAAGCACAAATTCAAAAGTTACATGTGGCTTGCATGGCACCGATGTCAGACTGAACTTATATACATTTAGAAACCACATCTAACAGTGATTACAACACCTATATATCATCAATGCTCTTTTATAATACTTAAACACAAAATGGTGATTTTGTCCAAAGTATTTTTTTATTTTTATTTTTTACAACAGATAGTTCCTCAGGTTTTCTTTTCCAAAAGATTTTCAATAATATATCTGTTTTATCCCTTAATGCGTTAAGCAGCTAAATTTGCCTGCAAAATTCAAATTTTTGGCAATAACCGGAAAGTGAGATAGGAGGGATCCTCCAAAATGGTACCAATTCGGTTTTGCTAGACTTTAGCAAGCATCGATCATCAAGCTTGTATAACATATAATCATCAGGCGTGTATAATATGTAATCATGCATCGATAAAAGATTGACGATCATTTTGATCAAAAATTCGCTTAGTTAAAAAAAATACATATTTATACTTGGCTATGCAAAAAAATGATGAAAACTTACTTGCTGAGTTGTCGGATCCTTATTTTGTTACATTTTCTCAATGACAAATAATCACAGGTCTTGAGGAGGATGGGCTTTTAGAAGATAGTGATGGTGACATAGTTGATAATGAAGAGTATACCGAAGGCTTGGATAATATTGTCGACGAGTTAGAACAACTGCAAGTAAATGAAAAAAAAAGTAGAGGAAGGGAAGATAGAGTGAGAGAGGGTAGGGCAAGGGGGAATAGAGCAAGAAAAGATAGAGCGGGAGGAAATGGAGCAAGGGGACATCAAAGTAAAGGTGGAAGAAATAACACAGCTTTGAACAAAACTGAAATCTCAGCACAATTACCCGTACCTCCTGATTTTGTTCCATTAGAACATAACTTACCATATCACCGAAGCTATGTCAAATTGCCATTAGCCTTTCCTGATCGTAATATCACTCCATATGGATTAATTAGACTTTTTTTTTCACAAACTATTCTCAATACAATTGTAACGAATACAAATAAATATGCACAACTAAAAAATGCTGGTACAATCGGACGAGATTGGACAAATTTAACATTAAATGAATTGAAGACTTGGTTAGGAATTGTTATATATATGGGTGTAATAAAATTGTCAAGAGTAGTTGATTACTGGTCTACCGATTTCAAGTTTTCTAAACACAACATTATGCAAGAAATGTCAGTAATACACTTTCAACAAATAAAATGATATTTACATATTTCTGATTCTGATTCTGAGCTACTTTATTGGTATGGCAAAGTTGAACCGCTTGCATCACATATCAAAAAGATTAGTCAACAAATCTATATACCTGGTTCACAAGTATCGATTGATGAAATGATAATTCGATTTTCTGGATGCAGTGGACATACTTTTCGAATTAAAAACAAACCTACTCCTGAAGGCTATAAAATTATGTCTTTATGTGAAAAAGGTTATACTTATGCATTTACATTTGAATCACGTATTAAGATCAATAATAAAATTCCAAATATTTTTGGTCTTAATAAAACAGGATCACTTGTATCCTATCTTGTTACTCAACTTCCTTACAATTGAGCATATAATGTATACATGGATAATTACTTTACAAGTATTCCTCTTTTTAATTATTTGAGAACAAAAGGATATGGAGCTTGTGGTACAGTACGAACAAACTCAGCACTGTTTCCTTCTATATTGAAAATTGAAAAATCTATTAGATTAAATTGGGATATTTTATTCGAAGTAGTTATAAATGATGTTTTAGTAATTTTTTGGATGGATAATGGACCTGTTCATATGCTTTCAACTATTCATGGTATTAAAGGAGATGAATGGAGAATTTCTACAATGCGACGATGTCCACAAGAAACAAGTTCTAATGCTATTAATGTACGCAAAGTTTTGGTGAAGCAGTAAAAAAGGAAATTCCTATTCTAAAAGTTATTTATGATTACAATCATTTTATGGGTGGTGTAAATATAGTAGATCAATATCAATCATATTACAATTGTCAATTTAATACATCACATACTTGGATGCCACTTATGTTTTGGTTAATTGATACTGTAATTGTAAATTCATATATTATATATAAACACAATAATAAGTTTTTAATTATTTAATAATTATTTAATGTTTTTATAATATTAATAATTTATATTTACAATAGGTGGAACTCTTGATCATTGAAAATTTCGATTACAAATAGCATGGGATTTTATTGCTGATAAAATCATTAAAAATATTAATCAAGATTCTATATCTCAAAAAAATTCTACTATTGTAAGTAAACATTATCAACTTTCTATTAATCGATTTTCTGGTACAAATCATTATCCAGAATGGCGAGAAACTCACATAGCATATGTTTGGTGTCGATGGAATGCTAAAATGAACAAAAAAATCATTGATAAAAAAAATTCACCACAAAGTCAAATTTGGTGTATTCAATGCAATGTTGCTCTTTGTTGTAATAAATTCCATTCTTCATGCTTTAAAGAATATCATACATATACTAAATAATAAATATATACTTATAGTTTAAAAAATAAATTTAATAATTAAATTTAATAATTATCGTTATATATGTATATAAATATTTTATAAATAAATTTATTATGATTTATATATTTTTTTTAAATAATTTTAAATTTACTAAACTTATTGAAACTTAAAGTAAAAAAATCATTAAAAATATAAATGATTACATATAATTAAAATTTTTTAAAAAATTAAAAATTATATTTTTTTATTTTATTTTTTTAAAATTAAAAGAATATATTTTTATTAATATATTAAAATAAAATTATATAATAACAATATTATAAAAAATTCAATTAATTTTTTGCAGACAAATTTGCCTGGAAAGTATCAACATATTAAGAAATAGTTGGCTATTAGATAATTCAGACGGCATCTATGCTAATGCAGCATTACGGTAATACAGATTAACATTGCTATAATTCTAGTCAACACTATATAATGTCACATGTACCATTATTTTTAAAAATTCTCACATTATATCTGCTTTTAATCACATATTTTTTGTCAACACATGAATAAAAATTCAATTTTACAATCGTCACATGCCACAATCCATCAAAAATGATATACGTAATATGTATAAAAGAAAAAAAGAAAAAAGAAAATCGATCTAATAATTGATAATATAAATGTCTGTTTGTATCATTGGAGAAAGAGCTCTCAAGGTTCTCCCTTGGACTGATATGCTTGAAAATCCAGAGATAAATCTTCCCAAGAAGGCACTAGTATGTATGGTGTGTCCAGAACAGCTGAATTGCTGAGTACACTGTGAGGTGTTTCAATGTCTATTTGTGGAGGTAAAGTTGGTTTTTGTCTACCATGTTCATTTTTTCGATGTTTTGTTACAAAACTAAGAGTGGGAAAATATTTTCCATACATTATACAACAGAGCCAAGAGTGCAATTCACCAGCACTGGAAGGACAATATTTGTCGTACAGAGGAATTTTCGTTTGGTCAGCATACTCAAGTACGTATATTGGATTGAGATAATGCTTGTCTTTTCCTTTAATGACAGGAGAAAGAAAGCCATAATTTTCTTCTAATAGAGTCATCACATCTACTGCTCGAAATTCTCAGCAACAAGATTGGTCTTTGCATTTTCAAAGATCTAAAGAGTACTGGCATAATTGTGCGTATTTCTCGATCCAATTCCAAGTAGGTTCAAACTTGTTTTCTCCTTCAAAGGGGTTGATATGCTAATCGATGTATTCATGGATTACTTTTTTTCCATGTATCAAATCTCTCTTCCATATATCATATAGTCTCTCACCCACATACCAAAAATTTTTGTATGCTAAATCACTATTTACTACCTTACCCTGACTATTCAAATGTAAGCCAAAGTGATCAATAAAAAAGGATATCCCGTCAACTGGATTATAAGCAGATTGCCAAGAAGTGTGGGTCCACACAGTTAGGTAATCTAAATCTTGGTTTTTAAAAAGCTTAGAATATTCTAAAATATTCTTAAAATGTTTTGGATTTT